TTTTTTTTTAAGTTCTAACTTGATTTTTTGGGGATGCCACACCCTCCATCTCCCTCTAGGAGATGTTGGTGGTAAGATATTTATACAAAAATGTTGCAAATCATTTCTATTGTAAATATGCCAAAAATAAGATTTTTATTTGTAACTATTTTTAAATGCCAGCCCCCACATCCGAACTATGAAGATTAAAGTCGAAATTTTTTCTAAGATCAAAAAAAATTTAAAAAAATTGGAATTTTGTGTTATTATGTATAAAAAAATCGTAGACTTCAACTGTTTTATTTAAAAAGTTCTAACTTAATTTTTTGGGAATGCCACCCTCACCATATCAGATAGGGGTGGGGAGGGGTGAATTTTTTAAAGCGATTTTTATTTTTATGGGATAATACATCCATATACCAAGTTTAGTTTCAATATTTCGACCCTATCCCCCAAAGCCGAACCCCAACCAATAATCCTTATAGAACCCATTGTGTTTACTTCAATATTAAGAATTCATTTATATTATTTACCAACCATCTTAAGCTTTTTTTTATTACATTGTTACGCACCAGATTAAAGAAATAACCTGTTGTTTATAATTACTTATGCTAAGTACTTAGGAATTTAAATTAAAAATACAATTTTTTCAACACTTAAGAAATGTATTATTATTGCTATTATTAATATTATATAATTTATTTTAAATTAATTCGGATAAAACCTGTAAAGGAAACGAAAAATAAAAACCATATTTTCTATTTTATTAATTTCAAAACAGTTATAAATACCTACACAAATTTTTTTTGGGAACTCTTCCTTTATTAACAGTAAAATATTTCAGTAATAAAACATAAACACAACTCATTCACAATACCTACTACCCGCAAACGCACAATAACAAACATTAGATAGAAAATAGTCCAAACATTCAATCACGAGTGTATAAAATTTCATCCAAGAGCTAAAAATAGAAATTTATCGATCGGTCTCAGTCATTCTTAAAAATTTCTGCTGGACGCTCAACTCCGCCCACTGCAAACGAATATCGACTTATCCATATTCACTAGCGCCATCTATTGGTAGTATCCATTTCGCTCCAATGAAACTTCCATAAGGTGAGACTATTATTTAGTTCTTTATACAATGGTACCATCCTCCAGTCAGTGATTACAGTTTTCTTTATCTTATTTAATTATATTTAAAATTCTAACCATTACTGTAATCGCTTCCTAGTGATTTGCATAGAGGCCTCCTGCATCGGCTTTCTAATTCTACCTAACCTAAAGAAAAAATATACAGATGTTTATGAAGAACAAGAAATATTTTTTTTTAATAACAATTATGTTTGTTGGATCAAACGTTCATCAAAAATACTTTCAATAGAAACCTTATTAGAGTTATTCAACACTAGGTTCACTAACTTGAATCACAGATTTATAAGATATTTGTTTGGTTTCAGATAAAGCAGAGAAAAGTTCTATTGGGTTCAAGATACGCAATGGCGTAAGACTCGTGTATCAGCTTCTCGTCCAGTTGAAATATAGTGTTTCCAAATAAAATATAGATGCGCTTACCCATTACAAGTCGTACAGTATATCGGAAAGAATATTTTTATACTTGCAGGATTCCACTGCTCCAGACATTATAGAATATTATTGTTACAATCTTATTCAAAATTTTACAAAGGAAAACCAGCCGAAAAGTCCTCCATTTTCTCATCTTCCATCAACAACCCCTTGGTTACCGTTGCTAAGATTCCCAATCAGAAAACAAAAAAAAACAAATAAAGATAAGTTCGCATGTTTACTTTTCTGTTAGTCAAGAAACGACTTTTTTTTATTCGCATAGTTATTTTAATTATCTTGTGGCTAGTTTATTTTTAATTCTGTTATGGGTTGTTTTCAATATTATATTTCAGATTAACTTCTGTGAAATTAATGTCCTAGTATACAGTGTGTCCTAACTTAAGAATTAAAATTTGGTTATTCCATCTCAATATGTATCATGAAAGTATGCCTAGAACCATACTTAAGGTTGGTAACCGTGCTCTATCGGCTGTCTATGACATCAATAAAGACATTCTTAATCTTGACATCAAAGAACGAGTTTTATTTATAACCTTACACATCACAAAATGGATTTCTCAAAACTTGTTAATGGATTTCCCTAATCTAGATAATTAAAATATATATTGTGATGTTTGTTTATTTTAAACAACAATTTATTTATTAATAATTTATTTAAACACTTATTTATTTATAACAATACTCTTCTAATTTATATATTTCGAATGTCTTTAAATGGTTTGGTTCACTATTTATCTTCACTGTCTATCTATATCTGCCTGCGTTGTTCCTCCTCCAATATTTATATACAAATTTAAAATTATGGTGAAGGTTCCAGAACGTTCTTCGCCAAAACTACAAACATTATCCCGTTCTTTCTCGAATAGTAATTAATCGAAAGCACTTCCTCCATAATCGTCACATATGTTTGGTCTTGGAGGATTAGAGCATGACTAAATAATGAAATGGCTCACATTACAATATAAAGTAAATTTTCTACAAGGTTGTTTATTGTAATTCGTCAACAACTAATTTCTCAAAACTAGATTATAGTAGGATAGAACCAGCCATATTTGCGTTTCAAAAACAATCTGTGATTCAATAGCTTAAGTAATTCTTTGGTCCATTTGTTCTCTTAGAATGTGTCTAATTTGACCGAAAAATAATTTGTCACTGAAAATATGCAATTTTAAAATAAAATCAACATCGGGCGGGGGTACCCGAGAAAGTTGGTAGCCTTGCCCACCTGACTTACCATATCGAATAGTCGCTGAAAGGTATTAATATCAATTAAAAAATACAAATAAATAAAGTGAAACATCTTCTGTAGTTAATGAAACAACTATGTTTATTATTAAGGTATCCTACACACAAAAATCGCAAAATAGGACTTGGAACCATCTTGGCTTGTACAGTTTTTGTGTGCCAACTTTTTACAAATACTACATTGAAACCACATTTCCGTTTTCCTAAACTCGTTGCAGTTTATGCATATTTAATTTTCCATTACGTCTTCCATGTCATCGTATATTGCTTTCGGTGATTCATCGCCAGAACTAGATTCTTTAAACACTCTCCACACCTCCTACATATAATGTAGCTTTCTGCTTCTTGCTTTAGGAATTTTTATATTTTCTACATTTTGCTTTCTTCTTCAACTATTTTTGCTCTAGGTTTTCCTTTTCTGGTGGAGCTGTTAAAATTTCCAACGTGATTGAAAGCAGAGTTTTTGTTACTCCTGCGCCTTTTTTCTTAATATTAACTATTGGTGATAGTTCTTTAAATTGAACATATCTTTTAGATTTCTGGTCAGAAGTTTTGGAGGTGCTTGCTCCAAAATTAATAACATCACTCTCTCTGACATTCTAAGGCTGACCTACTAGTCTAAGAGCCAGTGGACGGCTACCTGTATGTATTTGATCAGACCTGAGTTTTTGTACACTGATGCCCCTTTACCTACCAACCTGATATAGGGAGTCCAAAGTAGCGGACGCGATGGGCGCTCAGGTAAGACAGGTATCGATTTTTGGCCAATTTTAAATGCATTTGACCACGTCTGCTATTTTTAAATTTGAAAATATATTAATATTATCAGAAAACAACAATAGCAGCCATTATTGCGTGTTTAACATTGTGGCAGGCAGTTTTGAAAGTGCTGAAAATAATAAAATTTTAAAACTAATTGACCAGATCTGCCATTGTTATATTTTATTTATTAGGGTCTTAAAAATTGATATTCATCACGGCAGACGTCTTCATTGAGTACACACGTAAGCAGACAACACAATCATAGCTACTATCCGGCCAGGTGTATGCATAGACTGTCTATAACTATCTTTCTTTTTTCCCCTATTGTACTCAATCTAGTCTATAGCATTTTCCTTTATTGTTACTAGTATTCAAATAATTTAGATTTTATACCTGAGAGGGCCCAGATATCTCCCCACCATAACGGTTAGTGCCAGATGTTCTCAATATATTTGTTAATCTTCATACAGATACCTTGTGTTTTGTGAAATTAATAAAATACATAGTGTTGCTTTTCTTTATTTTGTTGATTAGTCTATTATTTATTTTATATAAATGACATTATGTAGAGTGAAAAAAAAACTGAAGTGTTTTTTATGACACGGTAAAAACTGATAAATTACTGATATTTATATGGTGCGTTTGATTTGATCATCGGAGATCTCCGAGCGCTTCAAAAGTGTTTGAATTGACACTCCGAGAGATCCCTAAAGTGTTTCTTTCGCTTTGGAGCGAGAACATAGAGCGAGCTCGTTGTTCTCAGAGCAGAAAGATCGAGAAGAGGGAGAAATTTGTCTTTGTCTCTACCTATCTCTTTTTAATAACTTACAAACAAATTTGAATCTCAAAATTAAAGACCAGACAAGAAGTCAACAAATTACTTAGCCGCGTTTGTCTTATAGCTAAAATTATTCATCATAAAAAAACACAAAATGTGTATTTGGAAAATACATTTTTTCTGTCCAGATCTAATCACCAGTAATCACAGTCATGGAGTATGAGAGCGAAGCGGGCATTTGAGGTAAATGCTGCATTTTAGGGCCGTTACCCCTTATTATTAAAAGTTTTTCCATTTTCTTTACTTTTTGCTCATTATTTTAACATACAAAATAGAAACAAGAATCACAGAAAAGCGAGGTTATGTTTTTTACTCTGTTTTATTTGATTTGATTCAATGCTCTATTGTGACGTCATCACTTCTCGGTCTCCTCGACGCTCGCTCGATCGAGTTTCAAATCAAACGCCCCTATAGAAGAGACTATGTCAAAATGTCAAAAGATTTTGAGGTTACGAAAATTTTATAAATTGAAATATAAAGATATCATTTTACCGGACGAAATTTATGATTCTGTATATCATACAAGACATTTATGCATTAAAAAGACATTTTATGTCGACAGATATTAAAAAAAAGTTCCATCACAGCCCAGTACTTCTTCGTCTACAATTGAACAACCATCTACATCAGCTGATAGATCAATAATTGATGATACAATTGTACATGATTCCCTTGTTAAGGATGTGAATCTTCCTGAGACAGAAGAAGTAGAAAAAGAAATTGACGCTGAAGCTGAACAGCCGTTGGAGGCAGGATCTTCTGAAGATTTAGCAGAATTACCGACTGTTCATACTTCTGATAATGTAGCTTCAGCAAACTTAAATGTGTGTTTTTTTGCAACAAAAAAAAAGAAACAATATCGCTCTAAGAATCAGCCATTACGCACTTCAGGGAAGGATCAATTTGAAGAGAGTATTTTATTAAACTTAAAGCCAAATACTAAAATTTACAGTAAAACTTTGACCAAAATACAAAGTGTTCTCTCTTGTGAAGTCTTGGCGGAAAAATTTCATGAATCAGAAAAGATCACTAGTGAAAAGTCCTGTCCATACTTCATGGCACAATACATGAAACTGTTTATAAAGAAATATGTTGTTTAATTGAAGAGAATGTCATAAATCGAGGACGTTGTTATTTTCTGAGTTATTTACATAAAGAGTATCTCGAAATGTTTCAAGAATTACGTAAAGGCTCTTACGCAACATCAATATTTACCACACACTATATAAAAGAAAAGATTCACAAGAAATTTAAAGCAAAATTCAAATTTTGATATCGAACAAAAAAAAGTTGTTGCCCCAAAAGGTATTTCAACTATTGATGACTTATTATTTGCACACTTGAAGACGTCTGCCGTGATGAATATAAGTTTTTAAGACCCTAATAAATAAAATATATTTATGGCAGATCTGGTTAATCACTTTCAAAATTGTATTATTTTCAGAACTTTCAAAACTCTCTGCCATAATGCTAAACAAGCGATAATGGTCTGCCATTGTCGTTTTCTGATAATAATAATATATTTTCCAATTTAAAAACGACAGACGTGGTCAAATGCATTTCAAATTTGCCAAAAATCGATACCTGTCTTACCTGACCGCCCGCCGCGTCCACCACTTTGGGCTTATTGACTCCCCATATCAGGTATGGTAGGTATAGGGACCTCAATGTACAAAAACTCAGGTCTGGTCAAATACATACAGGTAGCCGTCTACTGGCTCTGAGACTGTTCATCAGTAGATGCATAAAATTTGAATCTTAGATACTAACTTCCTCATTATCTTTAGTTACTAGACTGGTTGAGGGAATCGCGGCTAGAAGGAAATCATCCTGTCTAAATATGGCAGGGTTATGAAGCCAAAATCCACTAACTTGAAATCCTTTTTTGTCTTTTTCTATTGATGCGATATTCATAAATATTTTGCCCACATTATAGGCAGTAATTTTTTGGTGGGGATTTTGTCAGAAGAGCATAGATTGAAAGAAATAATTAAAAAGTTTCCGAAAACACTCAATCTGCTTACAATAGCTAATAAGATAATGACCAAACTAACAAGAATAAAAATAAAATGGGACAGGAAGGATATAAATACTTCATCAATTTTGAAAAAGTGTTTTGACTCGTTATCAAGGAAACAAATTGGAAAAAGTTTATGCTTGCTTGTTTGGGATTCTTTCACTATAGATTTTACATCCGGTCGTCTATCTTTATCGTTTTTAGACCTCATTTTGATTTTACAATAATTTTGTTTTGCTACTAATAACGTATGTCCCTAAAGTTTTCGGAAAAAATAAAACATATATTTTTTTGGTTGGGAAATAAATTTTAGACGAATATTAAGCTTATACGACATCTTGACAAACAATTAGTCAAAACTGACATTTAGCAACATACTTTGAGTTGTTAACTAACTTTGTTTCCAATGGCAATTTGATCCTAAGCTGTCTGCGATAAATAAATAAAAATAGATTTTTTTCCGAAAACTTTAGGGACATACGTTAGTCCTAAAGTCAACGTGCAGTGACTTATTTTCTATATGGCTGAGTTTATTATGTCCAACAAATTCATGAAAGCGCGATGTTCAGACTGAGGTGCCTACAAGTGATACGTGCCTCTCAAAAACGTTTTAAATTAGTACGTGAGTAAACATACACGTGGCTTATTTTAATATGGCTAATTTTTGGTTTATTTTCAAGTTTTTGTTACGTGTTTCACAAAATTTACGACTCAAACTTGGTCGGTTTTTTATTTCTGTCTTATACATTTTTCATATTCTTGTACTTTTTCATAACAGAGCTCTATCCAATCAGCTATAAATAATTCGTATATCTTTGAAATGAGATTGGATTTTTTTACACTAATTGTTATTAAGAAGTAGCTCGTTAAAATTTTTCTTCTAATATTCATTGGATATTCACAGCAGTTTTACCTGTAGATTGATAATACGAGTATTTACTTCTTAAAGCCCCGAAATCGATATACTAAAATATATGGTAATGACTACATATATTTTATTCAAGTGGCACTAAGCAGCATTTGCACATAGAATGGAAACATAATCTCAAGCCTATGGAACAGGTTGATTAGCGTGATACAAATTAAATACTTAACAGTACAGTATAAAATCAGTGAACTGGAACTAAAAAGATTACTTTAAGATGGCAATTGATTTGCAACAAAAAGTTGTCATGTAATGTAACACCTCAAAGGTACCTAAATTTTATCACTAAAAAGTACCCCTAAAAATAAAAAGATAACAAAAATAAAAATTAAAAAATACAAAAAATCTATTAGCTCAAAATTTCAAAATTTGACAAATTAAAACAAAGAGTATCCACCTTTGTGAGCAAATATTTCGAAAAACCAATCGTAAGAGAGATGCTGCAGTAGCTGCAGGTAAACGAGTAGAGTAAGTTCAATGTAAATTAATTTCGAACCGAGTCCATCATTGTGTTAAACCAAGTTTAAATTACTAAGCGAAGATTAAAATGACATTGGTAATGTAAAAATATCATTAATTTAAACAACGGTGGAATCGGCCTTTAGACATTAATGGCTATTAAAAATCATATAAAATATTACTATATCTGGGTGATTTTACAAATACTCTGTCAACAATTGTTGAGGTTAGTAGTCGAAAATTCATTGAATTTTTTTAAGAATAATGTGATTTAAAAAACACTTACCCTATCAGCAACACCACCAGGCAGAATGGTTTTGACAACCACGCCCGTGCTACGGCCTCCTATGATTCCAAAAGCTAAGCCTGTACCGTCGTTTATTAGATCTATCACTTCTACTTGTGCCCACTCGGTATTCAACTGAAACAAGAGTGACATGTAATCATTTTTGTTTGTAATATCAGCAAACAGGAATTGCTTGCATCAATTTTCTTTAATACTATCGATAAACATTAAAAAAATTAATTAATCCTTGTGGCACTCTTTGGTAAATCTTAACTAATTTTGAAGTTCAGTAGGTATATAGAGACATTTTATTAATCGTAAAACCAAAGCATAATAGAGCCATTTTCTGAAAATAGTTTTATTCAGCCTAACATTATTTTGCACTCAAAGTGAGTGAGTGAGTGGAAGCAAAATTGTATTACATATTGGGAGACAAAATTTAATTTTGCTATGATGGAATTTTGAAAACCAAATTGCAAAGCTATTACAGATGCATACAATATAAGTGAAAAGCCGCGAGTTTTAGTGATCGACTAAAAAATCAACACAAAAATCTAATTGTAGTGTATATTTCGACTTTTTTACACAATAGCACAAGAGTTGAGACAGAAAGTAGAGCGGACAATCTGTCGAATACGGATACAACCTTTTCGATGGAATTACATATAAGATTCGTCTTTTTTGTGGTTATGGGCTTAATCGAATTACATATAAGATTTTCTCTACAAATACATTATTTCAAGAAATAGATATTATTTCAAAGAACTATGTACAATGAGTTAATATTGAAAATCAATGTTAAATAGATAATAATACCAAACAAATCAATTAACGATTTGATAATTAGGTACATACCTACAAATAAATTAAGTGGAAATTATTTTATTTTAAGTAGCTATTCACTACACATTATTTACGCAAAAATTATTTTTAAAAACTGAATCTCATTACATTTAAAATATCTACACTCATTAGTGCTTATCTTGTATTATGTGTTGCATACCTTCTCCTTCTGATCTTTATAATCTTTGTAATGGGTGGTTTTTATAAAAAGGGTCAATTTCTCTTAAGATTCCACTATAGATATTGTGAAAATATGCTAGAATATTTTTATTTACTAAATATCATGTATAAAGATAATACATGGAAATCGTACCAAAAAAGAAGTGTTGCCTTGCATCAAATGAGGTAGTTCTGATTTTTTTATGAGTTAGTATTGATGAAATGGGTAATTACAAATTTTCCATCTCGATAGCCCTTCGGATCACAGTTAAATACTTGAAAATTCATTAAAATTTAGAAGTTTTTTCGGTTTTTGTCAATTTTTACCACCAAGGACCTCGTTATGGCAAAACTTACTAAAGACACTTTTTAAGTAAACTAATTTTGCAATTAAATGAGAATAATTTTGTTTTAGTAAACCAAATAGTTTTTAAAATACGGCTATTTAAAAGTTTGCAAAATTTAAAAAAAAAAAGAAGTATTAGTTTTTTTAGTTTTCGACAATTTTTGTCCCTAAGTAGTGGGGTTTATTGGAAAAGTTACTTGTTTAGTTACTAAAATCCACTAAATTCTTAACAAAATGAGACCAATTATGTCAACTTACACCTGATAGTTCCGGAGACACAGCTGTTCAAAGTTGTTGAGGTAAGTAAACAATTATGTAATTTGGTTTTGGTAGGGCAGAGTGTTTACAAAATTTAAAAAAAAAGGAAGCCTTACAATTTTATTTGTCTGATAGAATTTTACTGAAAGTGTGTTTTGTTTTTACTTTTGTGTGTATTATAACATATAATTAATATTAAAACGAAGAGTTGAAGGACTTTTTCACACATGAAGTGTCACCATTTCCCATGTCATTATTTAATGAAGATGGAATCAGGAAGGGTCATCATTCTACACAGCCTTCAATCCTGTGAATCTGAATGAGAATCAACAGAGGAATGACACGCACGTAGTTGTAGACGGTGGATATCTGCTCCACAAAGTAGTGTGGCCTCGTAATACGTCTTTTGGGGAAATTGGTTCCAGATATGTCCATTCATTGATGACACACCATCAAATGATGATTTCGACCTTCCTAAGCAGTTCTATGAATAAATTCTATCTTAGCAAGCTGCCCCCAAAAGGTGTGCTGTGGATTCAGAGGACGAGCCTGGTCCACCAAAAATATACAAAAAATGCGAGTAATAACTATTTCCCCAACTATGCTGTACATAAAATACAATGAAGCGTTTCATTACATTTTTCATATTAATGTTTTAATTAGTAAAATGTTTATTTAAATAAATTATAATGCCTATTTCACTAAAAGGGCGTACTTCATTTTGTAAACCCTTCTATTCCATAATTGTTTACTTACTTCAACAACTTTGAACAGTTGTGTCTCAGGAACTATCAGGTGTAAGTTGAC